CACAGCCTTTTGTGAACTGAGTGTCCCAGAAGAAAAAATAAAAAACAAAAACCCACACCTGGTAAAGATTCTACTTAAAGAACTTCTGTAACAATGTTACAGATCCAATGCCAAGTTGGCTTGGGCTATCCTTAGCCCCCCTTAATGGCCATTTTTGTCCACTTCTGCCTCTGTGTTAACACTCTACGACGATTACGTAAACCTTTGAAATGCAGTAACAGACCCCTAGCTTCTACCAACGCCAATGCTAAGAATGTCATCAGAAAGCATTTGCTGTCTCCAGCAGATCTTTGCCCTGCTCTGCTGTAACTTTCCTGATGTTCCCACCAATGTCTTTGAAAGTACCTTGATTTATGACCCACTTTTGCTCTGCATTGATAAAAACACCAAGCATCTGCTGCCATGTAGCAACATGTTGTTTGGAGCAGTCTGTACCTGGGTTATTAGGGTCATTCATATTTGGCTCCAGAATAAACTCGTTTATTGCCCTTGAGATGAGAATTGTATTTTGTATTGACATTTGTAATGCCAGCCCAGGGAGTTGGCTGCTGGAATATCAGCAGTTCAAGGCCAGCCTTAGCTTTATATGGAGTCTGAGGGCAGCCTTTGGCTCCAGAATGAACATTCTTGCTTTCTTCTTGTTGAGAACTGTATTTTGTATTTATACCCATAATTCCCAGCCCTTGGAGGTAGAGGCCAGCATTAGCTGCATGAGACCTTGTCTCAAACAAACAAACAAAGCAGAAACAAAACCTCAACAACAACAACAACAACAAAACCTTAATAAACAAACAAAAACAACAACTAAAAGGCTGGAGATGGCTCAGCGATTAAGAGCACTTGCTGCTCTCTCTGGCAGAGAACCTGGGTTCAGTTTCCAGCGCTCAGTAGTGGCTCACAACAGTCAGTAACTCTTGTGCTAGAGGATCTTTGCTCTCTGGATGGGTACCCTGTGACTCAGGAGAATACATAAAATCAGCCTGCTCAGAAGTGAATTTCTGGTAAATGCGACATGAAACTCGAAGGTATTATGCTAAGTGAAGGAAGATCACACTTCATTCAGGACCACATACCACCTGATCCCGTTTATATGAAATGTTTAAGAGGAGGCAAACACAGAGGCAGAAAGTAACTCAGTAGCTGTCTTGACTGAGAGGATGGGAGGATTTTGAAGAGGTGAGTTGGGTGTCAAAGTGTCTTTGTTCTAAATTTGAGACAGTGCTGGGATTTGAAGGTGATTTTTGTCCCTTGAATGTACACAGGAATTAATGACCAAAGTCATGCATTAATGTTATTCAGGGAGTAGAGGGCCAGGGTGGTGTACCTGCCTTTAATCTCAGCACTTGAGAGGTAGAGGCAAGAAAATACCCGTGTTAAGGCCAGCCTGATCTTCATAGTGAATTCCAGGTTGGTTGGGTCCACACGGTGAGATCCTATCTCAGAAGACTACAACAGCAATAATAAAAACTAACAGGCACAATGGCAGGAGCTGAAGCTCCCAGGGTGATGGGAGCCACACCTGTGATAAACATTTTATGACCCTGACTGACTAAATCTCCAGTGACTGTGGATATCTGGAATGTTATCGATGGGGAAGCAAATCATCCCAGACTGTGAATAGCACCCTAACAGCCAGCTGGTGCCCACTACCTCTGGGCGTGACCTAAGGTCCTTATGACTATTGGGTACGTTAGTTTGGAATTTACAAGCATACATCTAGTTTCCACCAACCTGGTGTCTATCAGATGTGTCCTTGCTCTGTTGTAACTACCTATAGCGTTATTTCCACGAGTGAAGGTCAGGGAACAGCTCTGCGGAGTTAGTTCTGTCCGTCCACATTCATATGGTGTGACAGCTGATCTTGGTTGCCAACATAACATACCTGGGAAGAAGGAACCTCATTTGAAGAATTGCCCAACAGATTGGCTTGTGGACGTGTCTGTGGACCACTGTCTTGTTTGTTAACAGATGCAGGGGGCCCAGGCCACAGTGGGCAGCGTCATGCCTATCCACTTAGGCCTAGGCTGTCTGTAAGAAAGCTGGATGAGCCTAACTGGAGGATCTCTGTGTGTTGGAGGCCAGCCTGATCTCCAGAGCCAGGCCAGACATGGCTCCATAAAGAGACTTTGCCTCAAAAGCAAAACAACGACAAGAAAACATAGGTGAGCGCAAGCCGGAAGGAGCAAGGCAGTAAGCAGTGTCTCTCCGCTGGTTCTGCTCGAAGCACCAGCCCCGAGTGCCTTTTTTGGCCTCCTTCCATGATGAACTATAGCCTATAAGCCCAATAAGCCCTTTCCTCCCCGAGGTGATCTCAGCCATGGTGTCTCATTCAGCAACAGAAAACCAAACCGGGACGCTTGGCTCTCGAGCTGAACTCCATTATCTGGTTTTCGTGGCAAGTGTCTTTGCCAGCTGAGCCACTGCACCAGCCCCTCTCCATCAATGTATTTTTAGTTGTTTATACTTATTTTTTTTTTTTTTGAGACAGGGTTTCTCTGTGTAGCCCTGGCTGTCCTGGAACTTGCCCTGTAGACGAGGCTGGTCTCCAACTCAGAGATTCACCTGCCTCTGACTGCCCAGTGCTGGGATTAAAGTCGTGCACCACCACAGCCTGGTGTTCATCAATGCATTTTTAAAGGACCTTGATTTATGATTCTCATTGTACTGTAAAACAAGCAAACAAACAAAAACAACAACAACAAAAAAACCCAACCCTTCATGAAATCAGTATTACGATGAAACATAGTATCCGGGACAACTTAAATCTACTACATTCCTAGACCATGGTCATGTTTGGTCACACATGTTCATATTTGACTCCAGAATAAAATGATCTCTCATTTCCTCTGAAGGGAGAGTTGAGTTTTGCGTTAGTGGTGGTGACTGTACAGCTCCAAACAGACTAACAGCCACTGAACTGTGTGCTTTAAAAGAATGTATTAGAGTGCAGTGTGGTCCCAGCAGTGAGGAGACTCAAGAGTTCAGGGCTATCCTCAACTACATGGTGAGTTTGAGGCTAGCTTGGTTTACATTGTTGTGGGAATTTGTTTTTTGTTTTGTTTTTGTTTTTCAAGACAGGTTTTCTGTGTAACTTTGGAGCCTGTTCTGGAACTAGCTCTGTAGACCAGGCTGACCTCGAACTCACAGAGATCCACCTACCTCTGCCTCCTGAGTGTGTGTGCACCACCACCCAGCTGTCGTGGGAATTTGATCTGACGCCAATTGTATTGGAGCAGCTTGGCCCAGTGGGCGTGGTCTTCTCTGGGGACAGTGACCTGAGAAGAACTGGGGACAAGGGGTCACACACTCTTTTGGATAGTGGATGAGCAGACAGCAAGCCACGGTTTGGAGATTCCTCGTCGCCTTTCAGAAAGGAGGTTACAACAGCAATCACGAAGATCTGGTTCCCCAGGGGAACAGTGGAGCAGCTGGTGACGCGGCACGGATAGTCCTCATTCTGTCTTGTAACCATTGTGCACAGATTGATATTAATAAAAGAATTCCCTCTATACTACATGAGACTCTGCCTCAAAAACAAAACAAACAAACAAACAATACCCACAGTCAACTGACCAGGAAAATACTGAATTATTTGGTGTGAGATTTATATCTCAATAAAGGTTCTTTTATTTTTTAATGTACATTGGGGTTTGCCTGTATGTATTGTCTGTACGTAGATGCTACATCCCCTGGAGCTGAAGCAACAGACAGTTGTGAGCTGCCATGTGGGTGCTGGGAATTGAACCCAGGTCCTTTGGAAGAGTGGCCAGAGCTCTTAACCACTGAGTCATCTCTCCAACCCCTCAATAAAGTTGTTAAAGACAGTTATCTTTGAAAGACCCCCGAGGGATGTCTTCCTTTCGAGAGAGGCCCCGGACCCATGAATCAGACGAAACCACACTTATGGATGCAAACAGCAAGAGGTTTATTCGAATACACAGGTACCTGGGGCGACAAGATCTCTCGGAAGACTTGCGCGCCCCCAGGTTGGGGTGAGGGGTTCTTATAGGAGAGCAAAAGCGCAGGTACAGAAGCGAAAAGCGTGGTTACAGGGATTCATTCCATTGGTCAATTCAAATAAGGCTAAGCATGCACGCTGAGTGGCAAATTCTTGACCTTTCACCTAAATACCAAGGAGGGGGTTGTCCAGGGGCTTCCTGTTTTTCTTATCTCTTCCTGCTTTCCTAGCTGGAGCCTGACTTGTTTGTCCCTAAGGACCTATATTCTAGCACCACGGGTGGTATTCCTTTCTTTTTTCTTTTCATCTTAACCCAGAGATGGTCTGTTGGCATCTTATGGGTGTAGGAGCCAGCCATGATAAGCTAAATAGAAACAGACACCCCAGACACCCCCCCCCCAACACACACACAAAGGAAGTTCTTTATTTCCAACCATTATCACCTGCCAGAGTAGGACTTGGTCATCAATAAGTTTAATGAAGGCCTGAGTCTCAGTAGTTGATCCTGAAGCAATACCTGGTTGCAGGAAGGACCATAAACCGAGACTGCCCAGGCACCACCCAGGAACAGACCATCCAAAGGAAATGCCTAAAGTTCCAACTGTTGTAGATAGGATCACCTGCCAGTACACAATCACCAAGACACCCCTAGACAAATGTCAGCCAATCAGGGGTCTTGGACCTTAAAAACCCCTCACCCTCACCTTTACTACTATAAAAACCCAACTCTCACTGAGCTCGGGGCTCTCCAATTATTCCAATACGTTGGACATGCAGAAAGACCAAGTTTGCAAACTTGTATAAAATAAAAGCTCTTTGCTTTTACATAGGGGACTCAGTCTACTTGTTGGTTTTGGGGGGACTTTGCAGATCTGGGCATAACAATGGGAGGTGGCAGTGACTTTGGTTTTATTTTGTCTTAGTATCTCATGGCCTGAAGTAGCCTTTTTCTGCCTAATAGTAGGACAAAATGAGCTGGCTGAGGTCTGGCTGTGAGAATTAGGTCCATTCTGGATGTCATGGTCTCTGCTTTTGTTCCCAGGTCTCTGATGATTCTCAGAAGCTCGCTCAGTCAAACCCTTGGGGCCCACAGGAATGTGAGTAAATGCTCTTGGGAAGGTCCCCAGAAGCTCTCATCCCAGCCTCCTGCTGCTGTTGGGCTGCTTCCTTTAGTGGGACACTTGGAGGGGGAGGGGGACACAGCCAGAGGAGGGTTTTTGTTCATCTGCGGCTGTGGTGTACTCCCCTGCAGGCAGGGGAAACAATGATCCACAAAGAGACAAGAATGAAACTCGGCTTAGCCCGGTTTTATTTATTTACTTATTTGTTTTCCACTCATTCATTTTTTTTTTTTTTTGAGTTGGATTCTTTCTGTTCTGGAACTCACTCTGTAAACCAGATTAGCCTCAAAGTCACACAGATCCATCTGCCTCTGCCTCTGGAGTGCTGGGATTAAAGCACTAGCCAGATCTCACTGTAACTGGTGCTGGTACCTCTAGAGTCTGGCCCTAAGATAACACAGAAGTCTCTTAGGCTGTTGTAGGGCACAAGTGACCTCACTCATGACAGTGGGGCTTGTGCTCTAAAAGCAGTGCTCAAGATTTAGGGGGAAAGGTCTTGGCCAAGTACAAACATAAACCCTGGGAAATTCTGCAGAGCTGGCCTCATCAGTGGCTTGTGAAACGACACCATTCCTGGCATTGCAGGAAGAGTGGCTCATGCACCTCACTCTGTTAAAGAGGTAAGCTATGCGTTTAACTTTCCTGGCTTTTCCAGGCCTTGTAAGTATGCACAAAGACTTTTTGCCCCTACCTGTTGCTACTGCAAAATATTTAGTGGTAGCCTTCCTAGTCCATTCTACCTTCCTAATCACATCCACCATCTCTTCTCCCTCTCTTGGTCCTCAAGGCTTCCCGCACTTACTTGCCCATCTAAGGAGGACAGTACGCTGGAGGTGAGAGGAAAGGGGGGTGATCCGCAGTCATTTCAGGCCCTGGTAAGGTGGGAAATTTGCCTGACTCCCCTCTCCACTGTGAGACTCAGGATTGACTGACCTTCTCCCAGCAGGTACTGAAGGCACCGGAAGTCACCATTTTTTTTTGTTTTTTTTGTTTTTTCTTATTTATTTATTTAAAGAATTTCCGCTTCCTCCCCTCCTCCCAATACCCTCCTGAAGTCACCATATTTTTTTTTATTTTTGATCAGAGAATGTTAGGGGAAATTCTAGAGACAAAGTTGGTTGGAGATGTAGGGCCCAGCAAAGACATGCTCAATAGAAGCCAGAGTTTCAGATTACCCTAAGGCAATACCTGGTTCCAAGAAAGACCACAAACTGAGACCACCCAGGCACCACCTAGGAATGGGTCAGCCAAGGGGAAAGTACCTAAGGTTCCAAAGAAAATTCCTAAAGTTCCAACTGTTGTAGATAGCATCACCTCACCTGATGTCCCTTAGCCTGGCACACACCCATCCCTTTTCACCAAGGCACCCCTAGACAAATGTCAGTCAATCAGGGGTCCTGAACCTTAGAAATCCCTCACCCCAACCTCTGCTAATGATAAAACCCCCAACCTCCACTGAGCTTGAGGCTCTAATTGTGTTGGACACAAGAAGAGTTCAAGTTTGAACTTGAATAAAGGCCCTTTGCTTTTACATACAGGACTCGGTCTCCTTGTTGGTTTTGGGGGGACTCTGCAATCTGGATATAACAGAAGCAGAGGAACTGAAGGTCTACTGAAGTGGAGTAGATCAGGTTTGGAGTCCCAGCCCCTAGTTCCTACCCCCTCCCCACCTACCCTAGCTACCCAGGTGCCACTGGCCTGTCTGGAATTTAGCTTTCTAGCCTACAATTGAGAGAAAGGTAACTGAGCTCGGTCATCTGGGTGCTGCATGCTCAGCTTGCCTCTGGACCAAGCCCTTCAGACAACCTCATCTCCTTGAATCTGGAGGACAAAGACCCAAACCTCAGCTCAGACTGCAAAGAACATGTCTTCTCTGGCTTGGGTAACAGAGATGAAGCAGTTCCCTAGGCAACAGGACCGAAGCAGAGCGGAGCCAGGAAGATGCTTCACCGGCCCTGTTTCTTCACTGTAGCCCTCCAATATCCGGGGCACAGAGCGGAGTCAGAAAGATGCTGCACCCGCCATGTTTCTTCACTGTAGCCCTCCAGTATCAGGAGCTCAGCTGTGGCTGTTTGAATCTGTTCAGGATGAATGCTGTCCCATCTCATGGCTGTTTGAATCTGCTCAGGAAGAATGTTGTCCCATCTCAGGGCTGTTTGAATCTGCTCAGGAAGAATGCTGTCCGTCTCCTGTCCCATCCCCATCGCACCCCCCCCCCCCCCCCCCCCCCCCCCCGTGTCCAAGAGGGTCTGAACTGCTTTAAACCCAGGGAGGTAGCCACAAACCCCTGCTAGGTGCCTGGCTGCCCCAAAGGGTTTTTCAAATACAACACTGATACTGTACTTAAATACTGGTTTAGTTCACACAAGCCCTTTAGGCACAACCCTGTTTTTGTCAATACCTCTGACCTCAAGTCATGCTGGGTTTGTGTTTTTGGGGGTGAGGGTTAGCCCTTTCCCTGAGCTGTGAATATCAGGTTACAAACTTAGCTTCCTTGTGTTCTGACCTCCATCTAGGCAGCCTAGCAGCCAGGTGTGATTGCACACATCTTTAATCCCAGCACTTGGGAGGCAGAAGCAACTGGATCTCTGTGAGTTCAAGACCAGCCTGGTCTACATAGGTCTCTTAAGCCTGTCTCACCCCTCCCCCCTATACAAAATACTGGCCTAGCAGAATTGAATCAAAATCCTGCCTAATCTCGTCTACAATTCCCACCGTTTTACTGTCTTCTTACCCCTGGCCCTTAGGGATCTGGAAACAATCCTGCCCCGTCCAGATCCCCCAGACAGCAGAGGGCTTGCAGTCATGTGTTGTGGCTCCTGGCTTAGGCTAAAGATCCATACTATGGCTGAATATAGTTTGTCCCCTGTGTGTTGGAGGCTTATGTCCAATATGATGATGTGAGAGGCAATGGGACCAAGGGTTGGAGAGATGGCTCAGCCACTTTGGAGCTGAGCTGCTCTGGAGGACCTGGGATCAATTTCCAGCACTTACACACAGGGTGGTTCACAGTTGTCTATGTCTTCAATTCAAAGGCAAGATTCCAGATCCCGAGTTGCAAACTCCTTTGCTGAGGAATTCTGATCTTCTTGACTGTTTGACCTTATAGTGGAGGGAAGGGCTGTGGCTGTCTGTGGAAGCTGGTCAAGTCCTTCCAGAGGCATGGGAGAGAGAGAGAGACAGGGAAGGAGAGAGATGAGTATAGAGGGAGGAAGAGAGGGAGAGAGAGAGAGACTCACCAACTCACCGCCTGGCATGTGTATGGGGCGGTCAAGGCAATGGCTTTGTACCACTTTTCCCAGAAGTAACTGTACCACCATTTGGTAGCCAGGAGGAAGACTTGAGATCATGGAAGGTCAGAGGACCTTCCTCTGGAATTTGTTTTTCCAAAGAATTCATAGGACAGTCCTGAAATGGTGGGTCCCGTGCGCCAGTGCCTGTGACTTCCAGGTGGAGTGCCGTCTGTCTTGCCTTCCAAGCCACCTGCCCTCTAGACTGGCATTGCCCTCCCTGTCCTTCTCAAGTTTCCAAGGTGAGTTCAGTTTTAAACCTGTGGGGCAGAACATCTCTGAGATTAGCATGTGTGGTAGCAGGCTGGAGTAGGCTGAATTTAGAACGGTGACTGAAGGTAGGGGCATCTCTCTAGCCTTTACAGGCAAGCCCTACATACTTCAGCACCCTGGGCTGGACAGCACCTTTAGGCGGCTAGTGGCGCCCTAAGTGGAGGGCTCCAGCTGTGCTCACTCCCTAGCCAAAGGTCTCATAGAGAGCGCCAGGTGTGAGGAGGAGAACCCTGATGTGGGAGAGGGGACTGTCAGGTGCCCCTTGTCTGAATGGCTCTCAGGCTGGCCAACAGGAGGAATTTGGAGACCATAGCCGTCTATGGTCCTGGAAAGCCTCAACAGGCTGGCATGGCTTGGGGTCAGAATGGGGTGCAGGGTTCCTGTTAGAGAATCACATCATCTATCCACCTCCCAACTCCTGAACCTGGGCTACCTTGATCAGATACATTACACAGGTTTGCTCTTATCTGGGGTCAGTCCATGTCCTAAGGCTCCAAAGCTGGGAGGGAATCAGCAGTGTGTGTGTGTGTGTGTGTGTGTGTGTGTGTGTGTTGGAGGTGTTTGGGGCAGAGATCAGCAGGTCTGCATCCTGTTTAGTCTCCCCCCAGGCATCCCAGTTCCTGCTCAATGCTGCAGGCAGTTAAAGCGGCCTCCACAGTTGTCAGAGGACTAGGCCTTTCTTTCCTCGGCAAGGATGTTCTCAACTGGCAAGGAGGACCAAAGGCTGTGTGTAAACAGGCTGAAACCCCAAATCCTTTCACTGATTGGGGTTCATGTCTCATGTCAGTATTTGGAAGGCTGAGCCAGGAGGATTATCTCAGGTAATAATGCTAGCTTGGGCTGTGTAGCTCAACCATGTCTCAAAATACATGCTTCTCAAAATATATACATACGTGCATGCATGCACGCATGCATACATACTTAGAATTGCAGGACTCAAGAGTGAGAATCCAGGGGCTGGATAGATGGCTCAGTGGTTAAGAACACTGACTGCTCTTCCAGAGGTCCTGAGTTCAATTTCCAGCAACCATATGGTGACCCACAACCATCTATAAGTGCTATAAGTATTACCTGATTCCCTCTTCTGGGATAACAGTGCACATACAGATAGAACACTCATATACATTAAACAAAATACATTAGAGAGAGAGAGAGAGAGAGAGCAGGAATCCAGCCACAGGGCCTTTCTGTCTTAGTGAAGTAGGTTCCAGGCCTAGCGAGGCTTTGAATCACTCCCAGTAGGAGAGAGGGTGGCTCAGAGGACCTGAAACTTTAGGGAAAAATAGTTTCCACTTTAAGGAATCCTTGGAGAAGTCTGCCGCCCACCAGTTGTTCTGAATTTGGCAGCCACCCTTGTCCTCTGCCTGAAGTTGCATGGACCTTAGTGGGTGATCTCTCTACACTCTGAACCTTCTGTCAGGCTTGTAGATTTGCACCACAATCTCTAAACAACCTCAGAGTTGTTTTAAAAGAAAACACACACCCAAAGCAAAGCTACCATGTATTTTGCTTAAGGGTCTGGTTTTCTGGTATTTTTTTTGGGGGGGGGACAAGGTCTTCCTATGCATCTCAGAACGGCTCCATACTCACTCTACTACCAAAAAATTGGGATTACAGGCCTATACCATCTTGCTCTACTTATGCATGTATGTATGTATGTATGTATGTGAGACATGTTTTCTCTGGGTAGCCCTGGCAGTCCTGGAATTCATTCTGTAGATCATGCTGGCCTCAGACTCACAGAGATCCACCTGCCTCTGCCTCCTGAGTACTGGGATTAAAGGTGTGAGCCACTATGTCTGGCCATGCTTAGCTTATTTTTTTGTGTGTGTGCACTCCATTTTATTTTTATTATTCTTTATTGGCATTGATTAGCTTTTTAATTGGATTTTTATTAGTGATTCATGCACTGGGTGATACTCTGTCTAAAGATTTAGAAAAGTTGCCCCAGTTAGCTGAGCTGGCTTTGTGGGTGGTGTCAACTAAGGTTCTCAGAAAGAATGTCCACTTATAAAGGTTCTATAAGTCTGATTGACTGATTGTAGGGAGGTGGAATGTTGCAAATGCAAATTATGTGGGCTCTCTCTAGTTCCCCATGGCTGCCTGCTGTGGGACAATGGTCTTGTACCTGGTAAAGATTTGTTGCTTGTATTGGTTTGATAAAATGCTGATTGGCAGTAGCCAGGCAGGGAGTACAGGCAGGGTGATGAGAATAGGAGAATTCTGGGAAGAAGCAAGTCTCAGTCTACAGTTGTCACCCAGACACAGAGGCAGCAGGACGAGACTGCCTCACTGATAAAAAGTACCAAGTCATGCAGCTAACACAGACAAGAATTATGGGTTAATGTAAGTTACAATAGTTAATAAGAAGCTTGAGCTAATAGGCTGACCAGTTTATAATTAATATAAGCCTCTGTGTGTTTCTTTGGGACTGAGCAGCTACAGGACTGGACAGGACAGAAACCTCTGTCAACAAATGGCACCAACATGGACAACTGCATCCACATAAAACCTGAGAGAGCTTGGGAAGGAATTCTAGACACAAAAGAACAGAACTAAACACAGCTTCTTGGTAGCAGCATTGTCTCAGGTGGGCTCTGTTTGCTAGAGTCAAGTGCATCTCATTTAAGAGAGGCTTCCTGACTCAGCTGTAGCTGCAAAAACCTTGCAGCTCTTTTAAGAGGCCCTGTCACCTCTTAACAGGGTGACATTTAACAAACACTTAAATGGTGTTTATGAATAGCTGACAGCATGCTTCTTGGTGGTGGCAGGGACCTTGAAACTCCATAGAGTTGTGGCAATAAACGTGGCTTCTGCCAGTATGTCTGCCATGAAGCTAGACTCTCAGAAAGCTAAGGAGTGGGGTGGATCCAGCCATCAAAGTCATGGCTTTAATCACTCATGTGGTCAGAAAAGGAGCTATACAGTAAAGATAGATTCAGATGGAAAAAAGTCTCAACAGTTTACA